ATAGGGCGAATGGTTCACTTAACCCTGAGCACTGAAATATAATTCATCCCCTGTGAGATTTTTCGTCATTCCCGTTTCTCCCTATCAGAAGAACAGGTCTCTGTTTGCAGATGGATGGATGCGTACCTGATCTTTGTAAAGCACCTTTCATGCGAAGTGAACCTGATAAATTTAACTGAAAAAAAGACTGAAAGCGTGGCCACAGTCACAGTGTTTTCACATACCTTTGAACTGTCAACAGGCTCCATTTCTGATCTCCATCATCCCTTTACATTTATTATCACTGCTCTCAATTGCAAACTTTTCCCAAACCCTAAAGAAATCACCTGCATTGAAGTCTTCTTTCCCGTGCTGGCATGTCCTTTCCACGAGGAGAGTCTGAAGGAACTGGGGCTGTTTAATCTGGGGAAAAGGACGTAGAGGGGAGACCTTATTGCTCTCCACCAATATCTGAAAGGTGCTTCCAGCAGGAGCGGGGTTGGTCTCTTCTCACTGGGGAAGGTGACAGGACGAGGGGAAATGGCCTCAAGTTGCACCAGAGTAAGTTTAGGTTGGGTTTCAGGAAAAACTTCTTTTCAGAAAGGGTTGTTAAGCACTGCAATAGGCAGCCCAGGGAGGTGGTTGAGTCACATCCCTGGATGTGTCTAAAATCCATTTGGATGCGGTGCTCAGGGACGTGATTTAGTGGAGGGCTGTTGGAGTTCAGGTAGTATGATTGAGTTGTAGTTGGACTCGATGATCTTTAAGGTCTTTTCCAACCTGAGCGATTCTATGACTCTGTGATTCTATGATGAAGCACAAGCAGCATGTAGCTATTTTCTCTATAACATCACAAGCACGTACAGCGCTTTTAATGAACAAGCGTAGTTCATTTGCTGAATAATGCAAATCTTGGTGCGTTTTGCTGTTTTCCAGTTCCTTTAACCTCTTCGGAAGTGGCGGTGGTTCGGTTCGCCGGAGTTCGGTGCCCCCTGGTGGCCGCTCTGCTGGGGATGCCCGCCGTCCCCGCTGCTCAGGAGCTGCCGAGCCCGGCCTTCCTCCCAGGCGGCTGCAGGAGAAGCTGCGGGTGCTTCACAGCTCGTGGGAGGTGCTGCCTAAAGATGCTTTTGAATTCGGTTTTATTTTTATTCCTTTTTATTCCCTGTTCTCTGCAGGGAAGTTGGACGAGATGACCTTTAATGCTGCCTTCCAACTCAAACAATTCTGTGATGAATCTGTGATTTGAGTTTTGGGTTGCGTGAGGAGTCGTGGCTGAATATTTGATGTCTTTTCGTCAGCACAGCGCTTCATTAAACAGGAAAAAAGAGCCACTCGAATGAGTAGTTATGCTGATCATCTCCTCTGTGCTGTGCCATGAAAGGTAGGGAAATAGGTAGCTTATTCATATCAAAGCACATGGCTCTGTTGTTCACTCAGAGTGCTGCTAGCAATTATCTGTGTGCCTCAGCGTGCAGAAAGCAAACTGAAGCAGCCCTCATGCATACCCCTTAACTCTTGCAGACTTCAAGACAGGGTGGCCTTATCCGAACAGTCAGCTCATCTCAACTTCAAAGCTGGGCTCAGGAAATGTTCTGAAAAGGTCTGACTAACCCAAGTCATACCCACAGCAGGGGTTCTTCTAATTGCAGACACAGTTCCAGTACTCAGTTACTGGAACTTACTTCATTCACTAGTAAAGTCTTCCATACTGAAGCCAATGGGCCCTAATTAAGACTTAAATGCCTAATACCTGTTACTTATTAATGGCCTGGGTTTCATAATTAGTGTAAATTTGCTACCGTTCCACTGCAGTGGATTCTGCCCATAAATGTCAGAAAGCCTCATCATCAATTTCCTCAGTTTGATTTTGCACTGAAGTTGCAGGAAGCACTATGTGGTACATGCACTGAGCTAAGTGGGAGCAAGGAGGCCTTAATTTATATTTTTTTCAGTTATATATGCTTCTCTTCTCTGGAGAATCCTCTTTTCAGCTCACACGTAAAAGCCTGAAAAGAGTCAGTTCTGAGAACGGTGCAGATCAGAAGCAGAACTGTACGTAGGAATCCTTCCCTTTCCCCTGCTTAGATCAGGGAAAAGGGGAATCTGAACAGCTTTACAGTGCTGTGAGTGCAACAGAACTGCAGCAATCCTGGGACTGAACACAGAGGATAACAACCTGCTCAAGTACTTAGGCTTCTTTCTCTGGGTGTGTACAGAAAGCAGAGATGGAAAACCTGGGAAGAAAAATATGAGAATAGGCTCTGGGCTTTCTTCTCACCTAAGAGATTTCTTTACAGGACCAATTCTGCACTCAAGCATAGCTGTGGTCTGGAAGGCTCCAAGAAGTGTAACCACTCTCTGTTGTAATTTTTACATTTCTTGATCAAATTTGCATGATATGCTCAGCTATACTTCTTAAAGCAAACTGAAACTTCCCTTCCAGTAATCCCCTATAGCACAGTCTCTAAGCAGAGAATTTATTAGTTCTGCTGCACCACATGCATCTGTATGACTGACGAAGAAAGCATGAGCAAGAGAAAAAAGACACCACATCTTTGCTTTTATTACTTGTGCAGTGGTTTTGAGACTAAAACTCAGCCTTTTGGATTTTTGCTTGATCTAAACCAATTGGCATTTTTTTATTGTTGAGAAGACAATTTCAGTTTGTTACTGGAGATTGTTTCCAGATTATATGCCTCCTCCCTGTTCTTTCTGCTAAACAGATTTTCTAAATGGCATGTCTGTAACTCAGATAATTTATGGTCATGTATAAATCTACACCAAAAGCATGAAAGCTCAGTGGGGAAGGTGATCTTTCTCCTTTTTGTCAATAAGTAGGCAAGTAAGTACATTGCCTGCTGTGGCATAGCATGCTGAGGGAGCCGTGTGTGCCAGTAATGGCACACTGACTCGTACTGTAACGCTGGCAACAAGCATCCTGCAGTCCTCATGCAAAGCTTCTTAGTGAAGGGAGGGAAGTAAGAGCTCGTTAAATGTGAGCAGCTCTCAGTCTAGCACCTGACTTGTTGCAAGTCAAAGCGAGTTCAGTGCTTTCTAATGTCGCTGCTGAAAACCTGGATTTAACTCTCAGACTCCTTTGTAATCAGTGCAGTCAGTCAGGAGGCCAGGCTGATCTACCTAGAAACTGGAATGCCAGGGCACAAAAAGAGGAGGTGAAGACCTGTGCATTTTTGCTTAGGGTAAAATGGAAACACAAGTGAAAGCACGTCATCCCAAACAGGAAATGCCTTTATTATCCAAAAGAACTCTGCAGGACCCACTGGCATTGCTCTTCTAAGGTGTAAGTAAAGATGCCAGAACTGAATGATTTCCATTTTGTCAAGTTTTTCTGACAAGATTATCAGACTTTTACTTGAATGGGACACAGGAAATATTGTCCTATTAGACCACCATAGAAAACTGATTGCCTTCTGGTCTCCGTTCTCTCCAACGATAATAATAAAAAAAAACACCCTCAGTTGAAGAACTTGTCTGTTGCTCTAAGATATGAATGTGCTGACTACATTACTGAGCATCAGTAGTTCAGTATCTGCATCGCCAGTAATGCCTCTGCAAACAGTTCTCTGTGCAGAGAGACCAAATTAATCCATCTCCCGTTCCCTTTGTTCTCAGTTTTCAGTGGATGCAAACACCTTGCAGTCTTTGTCTACCAGGGAAACTGAGAGAATATAGGAGAAATGACTTGTCCAATGCTCACAAGGTGTCAGGGAGTTCAGTTTCCTGTCTAGGGTCCAAGATAGATCCGTAACGCTAGACAGTTCTTTCCCTTTAGACAATCCAGATGATATACCTCATTTTGCTGCTTTGGGGATGAGAAAACACTGGAAATGGCTGCCCAAGGGAGACTGTAGTCTCTCCTTCCTTGTCAGTATTCAAAACTCAACCCTGGTGGAGCACAATGATGGACCAGATCATCTCCAGAAATCCCACCTCATCCCTTTTTTGATTCTGCGGTTCATTACTGTGGCATGCCTCAGCAGATCTGAAAATCTGAGGTCCTGAGGGTCTGGCTGACAGGACTCCTGGTCTCCTTCTCTTTTACTCTCTAGTACCATCAGCCCCAGCCCTTCAAAGCAGTTTGGCAAACTTAATACTGAAATGCTCACTCAGGATGAGTCTTTTGCAACGAGAATGAGGAAACTGCAAAAGCAAACATGCTATGGTGTGTCCGTGAATTGTGTAACTTCCACTTTGTTACCAGTAAAGTGAGATTCTTTAAAAAACAGTGTCATCGGGTTCTCTTTGCTGATTGGTTGGCCATATTAAGAAACATCAACCCATCCCTTCAAATGCAGCGTTCACTGTGACGGTATTTGAAGAGTGGCAGTGAGTTCTCTGTAGGGCAGAAACAGTGACCTAAGGAAGGTGAGCAGCAACAATATTTGAAGAAACCAGTCTCATTTGGAATATCAAGACCGAAGATTGATGCTGGAAATTACTATCTGTAAGTCTGAAACTTCTATCTCATGTAAAATGTCCATGAATATATTAAGAGAGAGAACACTTCTTAACTCCCATATGACAGCTAATCTATGAGCAAAAGCAGCATGGACTTATGCAGGGTAGCTGTCACCATTGGTAGTAACCCACACACAGACAATGGCAGGAAAAATGTAGACAGCTTGCATAGATGTTCAGTGCAGTGTTCTGTGCTCCATTTCACTCACAAAATTAAAGCATTCAGTGTAGAAAATGAAATCTGTTATGGACTGAATATTGACCATAAATAATGCTTGAGATGATAGAACAGAAATATAGGACACTGCAGGAATCTTGTGATGCCCAAACTTGGTTTACACATTCATTTTTGGATGTATAATAAAAATTGAAAGCAAAGTGCTCCTAGTGTCAGAAGATTCTAATGCTAGAAAAATGGAAAGGGCAAAAATCAGGAACAAGGGTAAGGCAGAAGCATAGAAAGAAAAAAAGGAGAGAAGGGGAAGAATTCCAAACGAATGGGATTCCCTCTCCTCTTTTACCATCCACGAAAGAAGAATAACTCGTTTTGTACTTCATCTTTGTTTTGCAGGAATGGCTGCTGCTAGGAGAAAGCTTACAGTAGTTGGAGATGACTGCTCTGGTAAGACGTGCCTCCTCTTCGCTCTGCGTCGCAATCAGCTCCCCACATTCTATGAGCCAACCCTGTTTGACACGTATGCCACTGACATAGAGGAAGATGGGAAGGAGATGAAGCTGTTTCTGTTTGACGTGTCAGGAAAAGATGAAGCCAGTTACCGAAATCTCCGCTCGGTGTTCTATGAGGACACCAACATTATTTTAATATGTTTCTCAGTGGACAGGCCTGACTCACAGCAAAACGTCCTTGACTTTTGGGTTCCAGAAATCAAACTGTTCTGCCCCACGGTTCCTATTATTTTGGTGGCTACCAAGATTGAACTGAGGGATGATAAAGCTATCAGGAAGAAATTAGCTGCTCAGGGCTATGAGCCAATTAACACTGTAGAAGGAAAAGCTTTAGCAGCCAGGATTGGGGCATATGCTTACCTGGAGTGTTCTGCCAAGACAAAAGAAGGTGTTGATACCGCCCTGGAGATAATTAGCCAATGTGCATTAAATGAGAAAAAGAGGAGAAAGAAGCGCCAAAGGTCCTGCCAAATTTTGTAAGAGGCACAAATATTATTTTGTTTTTAGTTTTCATTATGTGGAAGAGTGAGTAGATGTCTTTGATGCTGCTGTGTGGGTGCTGTAAGGGCTTTTGTGGTACAAGATGGAAAAAACATGTATGTGGATGGAAAGTCTGCCAAGTCTCTCACTTGAAAAGTTGAATTTGTTTCCTTCTCCAAAGCAGGCTGAAGAACACAATTCCAGGTTCGAGCTGAGCACAAGTCTTGAGAAATGGAAATGAACAAGCTACAGTTCTTCACAGAGTTGTCTTGGTCAAGGGACATATATGCAGACTGGGGCAATCATGAGTGCATGGAGGTCAGTGAATCTAATCACGACTTCCTGGTAATCATGACTTCCTTTGGTGGCATGCAGCTGTGCTGAAAAGGTTTACTAGTATGCACTCCCTTCTGTGCACTCCCTTCCATACACTTCTTTGAAGGACGCCCTTAGGGAATAGAATCACTGCCCAGACGCTCACATACACATGTATCCAGTGTCTGCCCTGCTAATGGGAGTGGCTTTCTGACTGGCAGAGCAGGTCTAACTCTTCGCAGGATTCATTCACAGATCTGACCTGGCTTGGTTCCTTGAATGCATTAGGGATGCAATGTATTGTATAGGGTGCAAGGAAGGCAGTGCTACGTACTTCTTCAGGCACAGGTAAATAAGTTTACCCAAGGAAGTGGGGTAAAGCAGCCTGGCTCTGAGTTAAGATCCTTAACAGAATTCTTACCTTAAAATGAGAGAGGCAAAGAGACCTGACTTCAGTGTCTAAAATTCTTTAGAAATCTCCGTGGTTTGAGCGTATCTTAAATCTTCCTACCTTTCCTTAGCACTTGCAGGCTGAAAACATGAAGTAAAAGGAATGCTGACAGCTACACTCTCTGCTTTGCAAGTCATTGGCAATTTGGAAAGAGACTAAAACGTGCTGTCAACCTCAGCAGAGAATCTCAGGGAAGCACAGAGATGAGGCAAAAAGGAACGACTTTGGGTGCACCTCCATACTCTTCCCTTCTCTGAAGCACTCTGCTGCCAGCCCAAGAAACTGATTTACGGACTGACATTAAAGGTGCAAGTGTGGGAGACAGAAGATAATGTAACTATGGGATTTGGAGACAGATGCTATAACAGGAAATGGACATAAAAATTTCAAAGGTAAACTCTGATAAAGGGACAGGACTAATTGAGCATAACTGTTGTGAACTGGGAGAATGTGGAAGTGCAGTACTTTCTTTTGCTGACTTACCTAGTGGTGGTTTCATCACTCAGCAGCGTGTCTAAAGTTTCCCAGGGGAAAACAAGACTAAACACAAAATGTTACGCTGATTATGCAACCTGCACCTGTACCTTAGCAAACTAGTTTTCCCAGACCTGGTAAAATACACACTTCATATTTTAATTGCCCATTCTTCCCACCAACATTTGTCTATTGATGGTAACGTGGATAGAAATGCCAGACTTGGCCAGGTATTATTGAGTGGGTTGCTGCTACTTCTTAGTAGTAGGTTTGAGTAACAAATGCTTTAAGGATGATGCTTTACATTTCCAAAGAATCTCTGAGCTCTATTCAACTTGAATTACGAATCCATCTCTTGGTGATAAAAAAGTGTTATTTCCATTTTCAAAACTGAGAAACTTAAATTGTTGCCTAAAGTAAGTGTGAACCATCTACTACATGGAGTTCCTGTTTTTCTTGACTCATTTTCTTCACCTTTTCCCTTTTCCCTCCAGAGACAATTTTTCACCTCGATTTCTTCCCCTCTGTGTAATAATCCCCTCTATGCAACTTGATATTGTACACAAATTTAAAACCGTTTTCCCCTTCCTCCTTGGATGTGTGTTCTGTGCATAAGTGCTCTACAGATTCAGGCAATGACATACATTAGTGCATTTCAAAGAGCTGTGTTTATGTAGATAGGTTTAAATTGTTATTTCCATTTTATATGTGTGGGTGAGGAGGATTAGACTGCAGATAGGTGAAAGAACACAGGTGTTTCATATGCTTCTGATGTAGGGTATGGAGAAAGACCACGTTGCAAAGATGCTAAGCACTGAGAGCTCCCACTGCTTGGAAAGCACAACCACTTTGGTGAATCTGAAGTTACACTGCCTGCTGCTTAGTAGGATATGGGTCAGCGTATTGGCTGGAATCTGTTTTCAATCCAAGAAAACAAGGAGTTTTTTCTTGCAGAGGGTGCTTTGCTCAAGAAAAGAGTAGCTGATCAATGGCTGTATGTCCAAGTGGAGGTGAGTCACAAGTGGTGTCCCTCTGGGGTCCATCTTGGATGGTGCCCTTCAGCACCTTTATCAGACCAAGGCAGTGGGATCGAGACTGTCCTCCTTATGTTTGATGAAGACACCAAGCAGAGTGGTGCAGCTGATAAAACAGCAGGAAGGGATGGCATCCAGAGGGACCTGGACGGGTTTGAAAAGTGGGCCCGTGTGAACATAATGAGGTCGGAGCAATCCCAGGTTTGAGTACAGACTGAGAGAAGAACTCATTGAGAGCAGTGCTGAGGAGGAGGACGCGGGGGTTCTGGTGGATGAAGAGCTGGACACACGCCAGCAGTGTGCTTCTGCAGCCCAGAAGGCCAGCGGTGTCCTGGGCTGCAACAAAAGAGGGGCAGCCAGCAGGGAGAGAGACAGGAGCATTTCCCTCTGCTCTGCCCTTGTGAGGCCCCGTCTGGAGTGCTGTGTCCAGGCCTGGGGCCCCCAGCACAAGGAAGGCATAGAGCTGTTGAGCAGGTCCAGAGGCCATGAAGATAATCAGAGATCTGGAGCAACTCTCCTATGAAGAAAGGTTGAGAGAGCTGGCCTTGTTCAGCTTGAAGAAGAGAAGGCTTTGGGGAGATCTCATGGCAGCCTTCCAGTACTTACAGGGAGCTTGTAACTGGAGGGAATGACTTTTTACGCTGCCAGATAGTTATAGGACAAGGGAGAATACTTTAACTAAAAGTGGAGAGATTTAGGTTAGAACATTGAGAAGAAATTCTTTGCTCAGAGGGTGATGAGGCACTGCCACTGCTGCCCGGAGGAGCTGTGGATGCTCCATCCCTGGAGGTGTTCAAGGCCAGGGTGGGCCCTGGGCAGCCTGAGCTGGTGGGTGGCAATCTTGTCTGTAGCAGGGGGTTGGAACTGGATGATCTTTAAGGTCCCCTCCAACACAAGCCATTTAATGATTCTATGAAATTAACTGAATGTCCATATATCATTCAACAGGGCTATTTCAAAGATGAAATACTTTCTTCCCCACAACAGGTTAAGACATATGTCCAATTAAAACAGCGGGGTACATTTAAACTGTAATATGTGAGTAGGATGCTATGCACTGCAATTAAATGGGAGCTTATTTGCGATGTCAGTGAAACAATTACACAAATAAATGATAAGTCTTTCAAAAGAAAGAAGAAAAAGGAAGAAGGAAAGAGAAGGAAAGCACGAAACGAAGCAAAATGACACAGTACTAATAAGGCAATATGTGAGAGCAATTTTCCATTTCCAGTGCAAAGATAGCTTTTCTTTCACCTGCAGAGTGACATATTGAAAATAGACATGCACAGTGCACAGTGCAGGGCCTTGGGAAGAAGTCTGAAATAACGAGAAGCCTGCATGTTATCTCCTGTTGGTAGGCTGCTCATTGCTTGTTTCTGGAATGGACTGGAAGGAAGGCAATACGTCTTGCTTAGCAAGACCATTCTCTATTTAATATTAATTTCCTGTGTAAATATTAGGCCTTTCTAGTAGCCAATCTATCAGTTACCTGCTAATTCATCTATTTACTCAAAATTATAATGAACTGGGAAGCGTGCTATATTTTATGAAAACAGATTCTCGTAGGCTTTTGTCTCAGTTTTCTTCATAATAATGTTTTGCCACTTAATTGAATTCATTGCCTGAGACATACAGCATCTACTTTAAATAATTCATCAGCTTAGAGTGTTTCTACTCAATCACTCCCAGAATGACAGACTGAGACAAGAGCTGTACTTTGTCATTGTGTTTTGATGGAAATAAGGCGCTGGATTGTGGTATTCCCTCCAAGCAGCGTAGAGGAGCACATAAAAAGACAGAAGGACTGGTACTTCATTTGCCAAAACTAAATTGTAGGAATCATTAAGGCCTTAAATCCTCCTCGTTCAGCTTCATTGCTGCTCGTGGACACGTGCCTCACTGAAACTCCTTTTGCGCTGCTGATGCGGCAGTCAGCTGACATTGCAGTCTCACACCAAGGGTTTACACCAGTGAACCCCTTTTCAGTCCCACTGTTTTCAGCCTCTCGCTGCCCTTTATGCTGTAAGTGTAGCTGATTGATCCAGTACTTCACAGTGGGGAGGGATGGAGGCAGGACTTGGTTGCCAAGAGGTATTCAAGACTTACTCTTCTGCAGAGCTTGAACCCTGTGCTCAGTTCCCAAACAGATGCTGTCTGCCAGCTGCCTCCTGTGTCAGTGAGACCCCATTTGGGGTAACTGTCTGCACACCCCTGGGGCTGTGCCTGTTAGGACACAGACTGGTAGAGGCACATCCGATCCGTGAATCACCACTGACTGGTTTCTGAGTAGTTCAGTGCAACTGGGAGCAACTCTGTTAGCTCAGGTGTGTCTGAGCCAGGCTGTCACAAGGCGGATGTGCCTCAGCACTAAGGGGGATTTAGCTGCCAGTCATCATCCGGATTCGAAAGAGAGTTTGCAAGCCTGAAGGCACTAAAAAGAACAATCTTCGCTCTTCAAATCCTTTCTCTCAGGCATCCGGGGTCTTTGCAGAGACTATCTACCCTCAGCTCACACCCAGCTGCTCCCCGAGAAGGCATGTTGTTACAGCCTGCTGATCCCAGCAGCCCAACAGAGGTGAGGCTGCTGCAACTCTGTCCCAGGTCCAGTTGTCAGTGAGGCTGTGTGTTCTCCCATGCTCACAGACATGCATCATCAACACATATTTATATTTATGTAGATCATAGAACCATAAAATCATTTGAGCTGGAAGGGACATTTAAAGGCCATGTAGTTCAACTCCCTGCAACAAGCAGGGACACCTACAGCTCCAGCTGTGCTCAGAGCCCCGTCCAGCCTGACCCTGAGTGTCTGCAGGGACGGGGCATCCACCACCTCTCTGGGCAACCTGTGCCAATGCTTCACCACCTTTACTGTAAAACTTCTTCATATCCTGTCTAAATCTCCCCTCCTTTCGTTTGAAACCATTTCTCCTTGTCCTCTCACAACAGACCCCTCTGAAGAGTCTGTTCTTTCTTACAGCCTCCCTTTGCATACTGAAAGACCACTATCAGGTCTCCCCAGAGCCTTCTCCTCTCCAGGCTGAGCAGCCCCAGCTCTCTCAGGTTCCTCCCCATGCCATGCCACTGTGCTTGTGGGCTGAGCGATGCTCCCTCACCGCCATGGGAAGACATTGCAGGGTTTGCCTGCCACTGCCCAGTCCATCACTGACTTGTGCTTGCCACCACTTACCCCTGGAAGGAAATGAAATGTGGCTGTGTTTAAAGCCTTTGGCAGGAAGAGTCTACATAAACATTTATCAGCAGCCATATGGAGAAGAGCGAGCTAATAAAAATGCATCTTTCGGAAGGCTCTCTGACTACCAGTTTTCTGCAGGAGGGTAAATTTAAATTAATGTTAGTGCACAGAAGCACTCCTCAGCTATTAAAAACGATGATGGGCCCAGGTACATTTCCAGTGACCTGCTGCTAACACGGTATATTCTGCATTGGTACTAAACTGCCAGCATTTGATGGTGCTCTGAAACATGAGAGAGGATGCTCAGACCTTTTTCTTCCCCCCTGTTCCACAGGAAAGAGCACTCAGGCTTCTTCCCACACAGCTGAGCTAAGTCCTGCAAGAACTGGTCAGCCACACCAGTGCTCCAGCCTTCACAAGGTTCATGAGCACCCAGCCAAGGCCCAAGCAAAGGGCTCAGCAATGAGTGGCATTCAGCATCTCCAAACCATACTCGTTATTTTCCTCTTCTACAAACCAGACACCTTGCTTGCCATCACCAGATAGACAAGGCTTTATAAGTAGACAGATATTAAAATGAACATCCTTGAAAAAAGAAAATATTGTGGAGTATGATGTTCACTCCTGGGTCCTGCTGCACTTACAGAGACAAGGGCATATGGAGACAGTCTGATGGAGCCATCCGGGTGATCGAGGAAATGAGCACCTCTCCTGTGAGGGGATGCTGGGACAGCTGAGACTGTCGGAGTTCATGCAGTGTTTGGACAGTGCTCTCAGACATCTCAGATTTGAATTTTGGGTGGTCCATTGCGAAGGCAGGAGTCGGATTTTATGATCCTTCAGGGAGTTTGCAAACGGGAGGAGGACCTGACAGTCTGATAGAGACAGAACAAGGGGGAATGGCTTTAAACTAAAAGAGGGGAGATTTAGGTCAGATGTTAGGAAGAAATATTTGACTCAGAGAGTGGTGAGGCAGTGGAAGAGGATGCCCAGGGGAGGTGTGGATGCCCCATTCCTGGAGGGGCTCAAAGCCAGATTGGGTGGGCCCTGGGCAGCCTAAGCTGGGTGGCAGCCAGCCCATGGCAGGGGCTGGAGCTTGATGATCTTTAAGGTCACCTCCAACCCAAGCCATTCTGTTACCCTTATGGGTCCCTTCCAGGTCAGGATGTTCAGTGAATCTGTGATTCTGTGATTTGATGGATCAAGAGATGAGATTACCAGCTCTTTTTGTTAGGTGTTTGCATAGCTTGTAACATGAGGGCTGAACATCCTGAGAAGAGAAGGAGGAGCTGCTGATGGTGGCAAGCTCTCGGTCTAGTACTGCTGGCTGTCCACAGCCCAAATGCTTTAAGACAAAAAGCAAGCAATCACGTCTGGTAAATTCTTCTGATGGGAGATCTTCCCAAATCTGTCAATGAAGGGGTTAACGCACTGCCAGCACCATGGGTGCTTCTCTGAGTGCCCACACACCTGATCTCAAGGCCCCCTGGGCAGTAGAAGAGCTCAGGGTCACTCGCTGCTCACTGTGGCTCACGAGGATCCTTCTGCCCAGAGCAGGACCTGATCCTGGCATTCAGCCTGCCCTGCTAACTAAGCTACAAATTAGCACCGTACATAAATGTTACTTATTTCTAATTAATTATTAAGGCAGTATGTAACAGCACTCGAGAAAGATCATATTGGTATGTATCTGGATGCAACACAACCCTCCCTAAATCATGCTAAAAGCTGATTTCCCTCCTGCTATACAGCAAATTATGTCAGGCTTAGTGCTGGTACATAAGGAGAAAATTTGTTACCCTTCTGGAAAATCAATAGGCTCTTGGCAAACTGGGTTGGGAGTATTAATCATCCTGAAGGCACCATCTGCCCATGTGCCAAGGCACAACAGGAGAGCCACAGCACTGCCTGCAGGAGGGCAAAAAGCAGAGAGGACCTTCCCCACAGGGCAAGGGTGGGCTGGGGAGCCTGGAGCCAAACCCAGGGAGCACGACTGGGTTGGCAGAGAGCATAGGTGAGGCTGAAGACCTGGAGATGCACTGAGGAGCAGCTGGTGCTGGGCAGCGTGGCCTGCTGGGCTGGAGCTGGCTCCTGTCCTGGGGAAGGGACCCTCCGGCCGTTGCTTGTGGCTTCTGCGTCTCATCCGATGGGTCTGTGCCTCTCCCCAGACCCACCTGGGAGCCTTCAGAAAGCCCAGAGAGCCAGCTGGTGACAGCCAGGAGACAACAGCAGTGGCCAGCTTGTTCCT